TCTGAATTAACTCCCAAAAATCTTTGTAAAATCAAAACCTGCACAATAAGTTGTGTTTCCCAAACTTTTGGGTGTGCAATGAATCTGTTTGTGCTATTTTCTTATTTATCCATTGGCCATTGAGCCGTTTCCATCCGAAAAGGCTTAAAAATAAAGATGAAAGTCGCCCAGTTCCCTGTTTCCAGAGTTTTCACCCCGTTTCCCCCCAGACCCAGAGGCTGTTTTCGGCCTGCTGAACGGGTGCCACCCCCACATGACGGCGTACCTGAAGAAGGCCATCCCCGAGCGGCTCCATTACCGCGACAACGAGCGCATCCAGCCCATCATACTGATCGCTGACGAGGGCTGGACCATCGTTCAGCGAGGGAACAAACTCCCCAGATGTGAGATCTCCACAGGAATAGTTACATCCAACTCAAAGTACATTTCTTTAAAAAAAATAGGTCCTGTTTTATATAAACCTCCAACTCTCTAAGAATGCAAACAAACAATAGACTCCAAAACATTCACTGTCTAGTAGCTGGATGGACAGGGTTTATTATTTATTAACCTATTCCCCTGGCTGGGTCTAGGAGATTTAAGGGACCAACATAAAGGTAGACTGTGAATGCAGGAGTCAAAAAGGCATTTAGAGAGGTTTTTTTCTGGTTTCAGGGAGAGCCCAGGCCAAAAATAACAAACAAAACCACCCTAAAAGAAAAGATAACTTACCAAAATCAGGATACAAGCCTACAAAATAACCCACCTAACCAACACATAAACAGGAGAAAAGCTCTATCTGAACAGGTTATATAGCAGAAATTAACAGCCCATTAAATCCTGAAACAGCCACAGAGGTGTACGGCAGACAAACGGCCCACAGGCCCTGAACGCAGCATCACAGGCCTTAAACAGAGTGCAGGTGATCGCTGATTGGACGGAGACCCAGGCAAGTACGTCAGGAAGCCAAGGATGGATATCCAACTCCCCCACATCCAAGTCGGCCATTTTGATTAGGTCACCAATAGGAAGATCCCAGGCAAGAAAATCCTAAATGCTTCATGGCAATATAGACATTAATTTAAAAATAGTGAAATGAATCTTGCAAAAACTGAATTAAACTCTACATAATATGTTAAAATAGTGGATGTTAAATAGGTTTGTACAATAAGTCCAAACATGTTTAACCAAAAAATATTTATTTATCACGATTATGAAGGCTGGAGGGTTAGGGTCAGGGTTAGGGTCAGGGTTAGAGTTAGGGTTAGGGTTAGGGTTAGGTTTAGGGTCAGGGCATCGTTTTTCTTCCGATTTCGTATCGACAGTAAAGTTTTGTTTCCACCTGAGAAAGCTGCTAGTCACACCTAACCTAATCAAAATGGCCGACTTGGATGTGGGCGGAGCTGGACATCCAGCTTCTACCTTGAGGGTGTTTCCGGTCCCAGA